GGATATATATCAAGGATCTAAGATATCTTATAGACTTATTTAATTATACTTTGATAGAAAGTATTATTACTATAATTACTTAAGGAGAAGAGATAATAAAATAATTTAAATAAGATAATACTAGGATACTATATAGATTTAATTTTAGTGAATAGCGATTCTTTATCTAAGTTAGAGATTTTGTAGAAAGAGGGGAGATTGTATGTAATTATTATCAATGGTTATATTTATAAGTATGATATACCTCGTAAGCTGTTTATATTTAGGAGAATTATATAGCGGTGACTCGATGTTGGTTACTATACTTTAAATTAATATCTCTATTAGTAGTTATATCCTAAAACTTAAAGTTATCTTAAGGAGTAGGAAAGATAGATGCTATGCACTGTAGGTAGCCTTTAGTTCTATGATTTACTCAAATACGCCACTATAGCTGGTGCTCCCATGGAAAGCAGCTGTTCTTTAGCGTATACCGCAGCTGTGATCGTAGTATAGCTCCGTTACAACTTATTCTTGTAACAGGCCGTATAATATATATTCCTTGGATGACAATGCAGGGGAAAGTGTTCTGAATAATGGTAGTATTAGGACTATATTCCGAAGAAGAATGCGGAATATAATACGGACTATTATCCCTGATGATTCTATTTCAAAACAGAGTATGTCATGTTTCTGTCTCAATTTCCCCGATGGGAACGTTTCATCCGTACAGAAATATCGGTCATTAAAACCCTGCATGCACATGGTGCATAAAAATGTTTCACAGCTGTTTAATGTTAATTTAACTAGAAGGTCAATTGTGCATGCGATGTCTAGGTACCTGGAGTTTATCTTATGACATGCTCTGGTGGATTCTATTTTTAGTCTTATCTATCTATGATCTCTGTGATTGGTTAACGGATGGAGTTGCTCGCTAATCCAGGTTGTCCTCTTGTCTAAACTGAGGCAATAGCAGCAGATATAAGCCGGTTAAAATTATAGCCCCGATAATGCGTGCCTAAAAGCTTATCAGCCATGCCATTTCGCAATGGTACGCGACGTTATGCAGGGTATAACGCATCACGTATATACTTATCTTTTCCGATAACAATCTACTAGGCTTACGCTTCCCAATATCATCAATATAATAAAAGAGCCTCCTATTACTAGACCCGCAATGAATCCTTTTATTCAACGGTCTCAGACAGCCTGGCACCGGGTAGGCCTTGTTTCTGAATTTCCCGATCTTCAATTAAATAATAACTACTCTCCGATTGCCCTAAATTGCAAAATATTTAATCTTTCTAAGATAAACATCGGCCCTCCAATTAAAATAGATATTAATCTACCAGGGAACTTAAAAAAGCAAGTATTTATTGTTAAATATAAAAACAAGATTTATACTATTAACTATATAAATAATTCAGAGATATAATTTTTAGCTTTAATTAATCTTTTCTAGTAATATCCTTATTTATTATTTCCACTTTCATAAAATAATCTCTTTAACATTGAAGAACTAGCATTACTCTCAGTACAGGATTAATATATTCCAAATACGGCTGGTCCTTTGATATCTTCTCTAGACAAGCAGACTATAGCAACTATAAATTGAAACTGTGGGAAATATAACTGCGTAACCCCTAAGCTAAGGATAAATCTATAGACAGCACCGATCAGGAGGTTTGGATAAGAAAGAAGTAGCGAATCGACTAAGCTGGTGACTCTATTTTCTTTATCACTGTTCAGGTCCAATAACTGTATACAAACAGTTTAACCCCCAAACCGAATCGACCTTGAGCTAGAGAATATATAGCAGTTCTCCGTATCTCTTCAGATCCAGCGTGAGTCGAAGCACCAGCTCCCTCATTGCCCACCGGAGAGGTGTCTGGAGAAAGACGTTAGAGCGGAATGTCAAATGAAAAGTGCATATGTACGGTGATGGGTGATTTTCGGCATGGTGAATGTCTCGCAATTCACAATCTCGTTGGGGCCACTATAGGTAGTTACGCCTGAAAGGAACGGGCCGAGGATCACTTTTACTAGATTGACGACAATATTGATATCTGCGGCGGATTTTTCGACATCGGCCGTTCTAGATTTTGGTGAGGGAACTGTAATACTAGCACACAGCTCGCGCAATGCAAGGGCCATCCACATAACGACTCGCCCAAATGAAGAACGGAACCTAGGAATGAAGAGCTCTCTGGTTGAGAGTAAATATAGATCTTGATATTTTCGTTGTCTCAAGTTTCGACAAACCATATGCACATTTCAATATTACAAGTGGGCTAAAACCATTATTTAGATCTAATCTATGATATATGAACAAGACTAGTATCATTCATCCTAAAGATCTCCAATTATAGTATTGATATTAGGACACTTGGCAACAGTTGTGTATATCCAGACCCAAAAACTATACCTTTATCCACAGCTTGCCTTTGGCCAAATGCATCCTGGCTATAATGTAGAAGATGGTCCCCATTGCCAACATTATCCCCGTGAAAACCTGTAGTTTCCAGTAACTCCCCCCTGCAGCCGAGATGAGAGCGCCGCCAATAGGGCTCCCTGTCAATGCTGCCACGGACATGCAAGCATACATCGTACCCGACCGGGTGCCAATCTCCCGTATATCGGAAATTTGTGCTACCAGAGCCGGGCTAATCGCTGTGTAGGTGCCAGAGCTTAGACCGAAGAGAGCAGCAAATGCAATTGCCGTCGCTTGATCTTGTCCGGGAAGCCACAGAGCCAGAGCGAATATACTCGAAAAACATGCTGCACAAAGAGAGACATTATAGTTGCCTAGTCTATCCGCTGCATATCCAGGAAGAATACGTCCGATCCCACTATCATTGCCTGGTTAACCAGTTTCTTTTCCATGAGGCTGATGGAAATACTGTGTGGTATGTACTTACCTCGCCGCATTGAAAATCGGTACTAAATACCCGGCAAGTTCAACTGACATTCCCCTATATTTGCCGTAGGTCACCATGAATGTGATCGGGATGAACATCCCCATCGAATAGAAGAAACTGGCAAGGGCCGTTAAAAGAAATGGAAGATCTTTGAAAGGCCGGATAAATGCTATTATACCGATGCTTTTTGGTTGCGAAGGTAGCCTTGGCCTCACAGTGAAATTTGTCACGATTAATAGTGCCAACATTAGAAATGCACATGTTCGCATAGTCCACGCGAAACCTATCTGAGGCATCAAGCGATCTACTAGGATAGGTAGAACCACTCCACCGAGGCTCGATCCGCTGGCAACTATACCCATGACCAAGGCACGCTTCTTCATGAACCATGTTGTGACACAGCTGAAGCAAGGATACATGACCATGCCTGCGCCAATGGGACTGCAAATAGCTTGGGCAAGGATAAACTGGTAGTACTGGGATGCGATGGAAGTCATCATGAGACCGAACACATGCAGGAAGGCCCCTATCAAGAGGAGATAACGCGGCCCAAAATTGTCATACAGCCTTCCAACCACAGGTCCCTACATTTGGGAGTGTTAGTGTCATCTGAGAAGTCTAAGGATTCGGTGTTTGATCTTATCTGTTAGCCTCTCACTCACAGTAATAAAAATCATGAACATTGATGTTGCAGGGATCCACGACACTATACTTGGGGATTTTGACTGTAACTGATGAGTCTCATAATAGGCTTGAAACACGCCGACACCTGTGTGATGAAGGGTCAATCTTCTCTCTCTCCCCCGGGGACTTGCTTTGGTTCATACAATTCGTCCAGCCAAAACTAATAAGAAGGCCGAAGAAGGCCCCCAAAACCACTAGCCAAGCCCGTAAGCCCCCGTCAGGAAATTCCTGAGGTTCGTTTACTTTAGCTGATTCAAAAGTCGGTCGTTTCTCTCCCTCATTCTGACTTGCACCGGTTGAGTGATGTGTGTCGTCCATCCTCGCAGTTGGCGAACACTAAGAGAGGGAATAGACAAAGTAACTCTTTCAAAGTGAGCTCAGAAGTAGCACTGGGGGTTCATCAAAAAGGAAATAGGGTACAACAGTTCAATGGAAATTCAAGCTTGTAAAACGAGGTGTTAATTGAAGCCTCTCAAGTCTAGTGATCGAGGAAAGACTAGGTTAAAGTAGCACTTTTATATACACAGAGAAACAAAGCAGTCTACGACACATCCATCTAACTTGGTGTGCCAAAGCCGATTCCATTGACTCATAATTTAGCTGTTTATGCCTCTAAGCAAAGCGGCTGGTAGGGCGTGAGGACGGGGTGGAGCCCCGCGGAGCCCCGCGGAGGTCCGAGTGGGCCAATCACGGCGCGAGACACCAAGACAGTGAGACCGTAGAGACTTCAAGCCAATCTTACATCGTACAACAGAGCTTGGAACTGGACACTCAAAACCCCCTGAACGTGATGAAGCGTTCAACTGCAGAAGCCGGACCAGCTCCCAAGCGCAGTGCTTGGCAGCAGCCCGTGTCCTGTGAGTTCTGCCGTCTGAAAAAGGTTCGATGCGACAAGAAACGGCCGTGCTATAACTGTACTTCCAGAGGCTTTGAATGCGAATATGTGTCAGGTAAGATATCTCTTCTCCAAGTCTGTGTCTAATTTAAGTGATTTTGCCTGACGCAAGAGGATTAACGCCCTTCGGAAGTGATTAAACCTGTACAGTCCTCCTTAGGTTCGAGCAAGGACCCATCTGAGAAGCAACACCATAGTCTTATCCCAGATGACAAACTTGTATCCCTGGAACGGTGCGAGACCCTAACGCTTTATTATGCCATTGCTAAGACGATTGATAAAGAAATGTTCGGGAAATCAACAACCGCCTTAAGAGAGTAGAAAGCGCTCTCCTTTCCACCTCCGCGCTAGGACAGGAGTTCCAAAGAACACCCCAATTTACTCCCCCATCTTGTATGCTAGCAGAAAGTCATCATGGAGCAGACAGTCCCAAGACATGGGACAATCTTGAGGCCATTGCTTCTAATCCACGCTCTGCTACCGAGCCGAGCTTTGGACGACAGCAACCAGCAAGGGGTATATCCATGAGCGATCCCAAATTTATTCTATTGAATGACAGAAAAGCTTCTGGAGAGGCATCTCCCAAAACACTCCAGCATCATGACCCACCAGCTACCGATGTACCGAACAATGTCAAGTGGAGAAACCTGCAAAGTCTTCTGCCTGATATTCATCTTGCTCGGCTACTTTTTGAACATTATGTTCAGACTGCGGACTGTCTGCACCGCGAGATTCATGTTCCTTCCACGCGCACTCACCTGGAGGCCACTTACAATGAACTATCGGGATCGATGATGGGGTTACATGAAACGATTATCCTGTTCCTTTCCATCTTCGCATCCAGCGCCTTTTATGTCTGCCATTCACACTCCCACTCAATATCTAACCAACTGAAGGATGCGTCGAAGTGGCACAATACATGGAAGGAGGCAGTCATATTTGCACTATTGCAGCCAGATGCAATACGCTCGTCGTCACTAGTATCTCTGCAGACAATATTGATCATGACGTATTTAATATGGGACACGGAAGGCCAATCATCTATGTTCCATACCCTAAGAGGTATCGCACATTCGAAGGCAATTCAAATGAAGATCCATCGCCTCGACGCGCATCATCCAACAGAAGATGACGACGTCATTGTAACAGAACTCAAGCGCCGTCTCTGGTGGCATCTTGCGTCTACTGACTGGTTTGTTCGATCCTTTCATCTCAATTGCACACAGGGCAATGCTAATGATGCGCCTCGAGGCTTGTTGCCAGTGTCCCAGGAAGCCAGGAGGGAATATATAGCATCAACTCGAAGCTTATGGCGGTCAAATATCCCCTTAACATAGACGATGCCGATATCCGTGCCGACGGACCATCCCCAAATTCGCTACCCGAGGACCAGCCAACATCAATGTCATTCTTCATCCAACGTATTAAGCTTGCTGAGGTATGTCGAGATATGGTAGATTCTATGCAAAGCATCCACCAAAGAACAGATATGCCAGATCACGAGCAGATCCGCCAGATTGTTGGATGGTTTAACGCATTTGAGGGAAACCTGCCATGGTTCTTCCAGATGGATGAAGAAAACAGAAATAAAACAGCAGTCTTGGCTGCCCACCACCCCTATATTATCCGGCAAAGGCATGTATTATTGTTTGGACTATACTCACGACTTGGCCGTTTGCTAAGGCCACTTCTTATTCGAGGAGGGAGCCATCCATCTTGCTCTGATTTGGTCAATCTTGGAATATGCTGCGCCGAGAAGTTATTGAATATTCGTCATACAGTCGAACCGGAAGATCTTTGCCCTTCCTTCCATTCACACAGTATTGACCAACACTCGTTTGGTGCCCTGCTTCTCTTGACCATTGATATTATGCGGGATAAAGATGAGCTTCGTGCACGGGACAGAAGGAAGAACTTGATTCGCGAATGCGAAATGCTGAGAGGAAAGCAGAGATCCTTGGGGGAGCCTACGAAAAACATGATCCGAGCGCTCGATCAATTAATAGGTATCATTCAGAAGCCACGTCTATCCTTACCGCGAGAATTTGTGGATGTGAATGGTAACCATCCTGGTCCAACGTCGCCTTCAACGCCATATGATAGTGCCGGCCTTCCGACACAACCATTCTCATCTGAAGAAACCGAAATTCCAGGAAGTCAAACAGTGCCCACTGGGAAAGCAGATGACCCAGAGGAGTATGCCCACATGTCTTTTACCTCAGCGGATAACTTTCCGTGTGCTCATGAGCATCCGGCCAACAATCCTGCGGGCCAGGATATCACCGAGCTATGGACAGAACTGCTGAACAGTTTCCCTAATTCGCCAGGGTTTACATGGGAAGAGACATTTGACTGGACGTGGTCTTAATGCTCCCAGGACAGGGAATGGATGCTCTAGTCAAGATAAAATAAGTAATGTTACATAGGGTGTCACATGAGGCTTGCTTGATAAAAGTCCAAGGGGGGTGTGGGCCTTTGGCTCTATCCAATGCTGCCACTGATTTGATAGTGGTTGAGCTGCTGCTTGATGCAGTATATACCTGATAGGATAAGTATACAACTTAATCTAAGTCATGTACGCCTGGTGATCTTTCCTTTGTCTCATTTTTGCGGCCACTGATGGAATCAATTATATTCTAGTATTAGCATTTTCAGTAACATTGTTATGCTTAATTTGACTGCTTCCGCCTGACAAGGAGATAGTGATATCGGCTTCTGATTTATATAACTTCTGTGACGTGTGTGCATACGACTGTGGGGTACTTTGGAAACAGCTGGGCTCAATCGCAGTGGCTGTATGTCCCAACGCCGCAAAGGCAAATATCACAGCTTCTGGAGAACTATGCATATTTTGAATGGCTGTTGCTACAACTATGTTCGGTCAACCCCGTATACCATATTGTCAAAAACTGTGATTGTGATTGATATGTGTGCTCCTAGCTGCCTGAGCAGTGGAATGCACCTGGCACAGTTTCCCTGCTGTGCAACCGTATATAGCAGTGCTTTGTTTGTGCCGCGAAAGTAGGTTTTTGCAGCAACTGGGCATAAGGGCATTCATTCAGTGTGTACAGAGTATATTTTTATACAATCTCTAACTTTACAGATGTAACAACAGGGCCAATACCAATGCCAATGTTACAGCTTTGAAGGGTCCTGCAAAGTGTGTTCAGCATAGTATGATTTGAGGGTGTTTTTACGCCTCGTCATATCTATTCTGGGTGCATTGATCAATAATGTCCTTTATGCCGATTGATTCGCCCTGTGTGAAAAAGGGAAACCAAAAACATACAACAAGGGGGATTCGCTGGTGGTTACCCACCCCACTACTAATCCCCTGGCGTGTGGCTTATATGCGGTCAGTACGGGTGGATATATCTAAAGAGTGTGATCTAGTACGCAATCTTGGCGCTCGCGCGACTAGCGCTAGTATATTATAAACAGATATAATTCTATATAAACACTCACACTTCTAGTACAATTTTCTTTTTGTGGTGCTAAGTAATCTACCTAGTACGGAATCTATACAATTCTATTAGCCTTACACCCCTCCTTGTAAAATAATCCAATATCTTGGCATATATATTTCGCCACTATCTATAATAGACAGTAAGAATATCTGCGTCTGCTAATAACGAGAAGTAGAGCCTTCACTGATCTAGTACCGCTTGAATTACACGTGATTCAGACTAGACAGGCTACCAAGTTTAATAAGCAGCTTCGATCAGGAGACGAGAGATCCATGCCTCCTATACTCCTATATACCGAGCCTTATCATGAAGATCGCATCGTTGCTTAAGACCAGCGATTGTTATGACACAAACTTGTCTTTGAGTCCTCGAAGTAGGGCGTCAGGTACCGCAGTGAATGATCAAACATTGGACTGCAGAACTTCCAATTGCAAGGTCTACCAGGTTAATTGGCCTAGGCACGATGACTGGGACCTTATGACGGTTACCTCCCAATGCTTAATATATTACTTGATCAAGCTGATATCAATATCAATGCCAAAGATGTGGAAGGGAAAACTCCTATCTGGTGGGCAATCAATAATGGGCATTCCGCAGTCGTTAGTCGGCTCCTAGCGCAAAGCGGTCTGGAACTGGACGGTACCATTAGAGGTCAGTCATTAAAGTATTACTATACCATGCAATCCATACCGAAGCCCATACTCGGCCCTAAAAAGGTGATGAAGACCAGTCCGCTCAGTCATACTTATGCCAAATGCTAGGGGGTTACTAGTTAAGTGGCCCTTACCAGGGGGGTAGGGGTTAATACTATAATGTAAGGTATAGAATATTTAGCTTACCATTTAAGACAGGTGCCAATTGGCTCTAGGTGTGAAAGCGTTCTTGTAACATATAGAAAGTCGCTGTGCAAATTTATAGAGAAGTCTACGATCGGAAGCTGGCAGTGAGGACTTTTACACTTAACTTAGATTACTTCACCAGACGCTCAGGGGTACGAAGCACCTGGGAATATTAGGATGAGAAGGAGTATATGTGTAGAGTAATATGGTATGCTGGCGGCATGTTGAACTTCCCCCAAAAGCCAAACTTCGTTCATTGATTGATGTATTCCAAGGCTAGAGTATATTAACGGGAAAGCCACGTGGTCGGAAATGATTCTGGGAAAGTTCTCGCGAAGAAGTTGATCGTATTGAAGACGAAAGTCAAACCTTCCTTAGCAAGTATAGGATATAAGTTATACTGTCAGGGTATTAAAATCAGGTGGAAGCGCGGCACTCATCCACTCGCACGTTATATCGAGCTAACTAGTCCTCTCCCGCCGACTCCGATAGCCTCAAAAGCCCAAGAATCCCTCCGTGGTGTTAATTGAGGTTATTAATATGAACATGGGTAGCTGAAATCTGCTTACTCTGTAGCCCCAAGTCCTCACCGAAAAACATGTCGTGGATATCGCAACCACTCCGGACCGACCCATCCGGCTCTAGCGACACGGCACTTTTTCCAACGGCGAGATACATGAGTAGCGGAAAAGATGGGATTTCTACCGGTTTGAGTTGATATGCCCTATCGTGCGCATTTCGTGCACCGATGCGGCCGACAATATTGATTGCCGCACACTGTCCCATGAATAATGCGCCACCGACACTTTTAATGCCATTCCACAAAGCAGCATCTCCAACCGCAAAGTGGTCGGGGGCGTTCGGGCCCGGTCCAGCAAAAGAAAGACTGCAGTTTGGTAATTCATATGAGCGGCGAACAGGTAGATAAAACCACAATAGGAGAAGTACACTTACTCTGGGTTGATCACCACAAAACCCTCATCATTCACAAAATCCAGTGGGAGAAACTCTGTATTTGGGGTTTCTCTGCCGAAGCAAAATATGGTTGTACTGCCTTGTATGACTTCGCCCGACGATAAGGTCACTCGCACAGAACACTTGCCATTGTCAGTGGATACTCGAGTCTGGTCGATGAATCGCCGCCCCATGTATAAATCTATGTTAGCTTGCTGCAACAAAAATTTGACACGATTCTTGTACTCGGCGGGTAACGGCTCCGACGACAAGAGCTCCTGCCGGGAATGAACAAGTATAACCCGCTTCGAAGGGTAAGCACGGGCCATCTCGGCAGCCGTCTCAACGCCGACGGCTCCTGTAGTCCTGGGGTGAGTAATTAAACATAAAGGATGCTCGCCTTCACTGCTCACCTCCTCCGACAACTATGACCGGTGCGTCCACTGCATGAAGATCCCTGAAATGTTCGCCATTTCTCACTAAATACTTCTGTTTTGTGTACTGATCTGGAACCACCGGAGAAGGTCTGTAGGTACCAGTAGCTGTCACCAGGAAATCATAGCAGATTTCTCTGGGGGTATCCGATCGCATGTCCAAGTCCTGGTACTTCACAACCTTTTCGTCCGGGTTGACGGACAACACTCGAGCGTGGATAAACTGAACTCCTGACTGCTGAAAATTGCAGTCTCTATACAATGTCCAAGCTTTTGTGGCATAGGTCTGGTCCGTCAAGGCCAGTGGAGCACCCATCGTATGAACTGTAGATCCAGCCCATGTCAGCATTTCTTCTGAACTGCAGTGAATCGCTATTGTATAACGTACAAAACCCATCCCGTTTATCTAAAAGTGTGATGCGTGGCCTCAGGAGAGGTAAAATTTCCGGTATCTTCTGCTGGATCGGAGACGGAAGCAGTCCTCTTCCTTGCAGCAGCCCAATAATGTTTTGAATGGTTGCTAGGCCGCCGTAAGAGCCACCGATCACTACAATGCGAGATGGAGTCATTATGGTGCTTCACAGATCTATTGCTCGATCAAGGCTGAGACACAATGCTCAGCGCCCATGCCAGTTTATATCGGTTGCTGACAGGCTTCTTGCTGAATGGTATGGACGGATGTTCTGTGGCTGACTGCTCAGAGTCTGAGTGGATCTCGGTCAGGAGATAAGATTTCCGTCAAGTTCTACCGACCGCGGGTTGCCGAATAGGTACGATCTGCTGTGCTCATGGCCCCGAGTTCGAAGCTACACACGTTGTTCCTACTCACGGGTGAATGCTCCACTGGTCTTGAGATAATGCTGAATAGGATTGTCATCGCTTCAAGGGCCGTTGGATTACCTTGTTTCTAAGTCTTGTATACTACCGTAAAATTCATTACCCACCACGGTAGCAGCGTGCGTGGGTTAATTATCTCCGAATGTGCGATGCACAATGTCACATATCTGCTCCTGCATGCTAATATTGACTGTCAACATCGTGGAGATCCTGTTGTTTTAGTCTATGCTTCGACGAGGAAAGGACAACCCCTCTTTCTACTTCCTGTGCCTCTATTTACTATGCCAGCATTCAATGCTAGGTTCCTTTTATGGCTTTGGGTCTCTTTCAAGTGCTGGTAGAAATGGCGCTATTGCGTGTGCCCCATATAATATCGACGGTTGAAAGTTAGTCTGTTGAATTGTACTGGAATGGTTTAATGGCCTAAATGATTTTCCTGAGAGAGCGATCTTTCGATGAATATATGATTGACATGATGACTTACAGTGGGACAGAGAAAAACGCGTCGCTATATTGGGATGGCTCAATCGCCATGTTAAAAGCGCAGCTCACCTTTGTGAGAGCAGTAGCTTGGTTAGGGTTGCTCATAAGCTAAGGAAACTCAACACCCGAGTTGGTCGCGCATGAGAATTGGTCATGGTGGAAACCAGTCTGAGAATGGACCGCAAACACGGTGTCGGATACCTGACGCTCAAAACATCTACCCCACGACCTACTGTATACTATAGGTAACTAAATCGCTGCGTGTGACAGGTGAGTGGATCTCGGACGGAGCCAACTGATTAATCCGCACTTCTGCTCCGATCTGACGAGCATTCCAAGACAAACATCAAAAATGCGCAATGGATAAGATTTAAAAACTCAGTAGGATCTCCCCATACCTCAACATCTATAGCTCTCTTTCTGCTCATGTTTCCCAAGCTACAATTCATTCGACAATGGCTACCTCTCTTCACCTGGACGTGCCCGGGGCTATCATTCACTACATTGTGCAAGGTTCCGGCCCAACCCTCTTGCTCATACCCGGTGCTACTGGCGAACATACAGTGTTCGAAGATGTGGCTAAGCAACTGAGTACCTACTTCATGGTTGTCTCCTACGACCGTCGTGGCTTTTCTCGCAGCTACCTAACCGCCGCCCAGGATTACGCCAACCGGCTGTCTACAGACGTGGACGACGCGAAGCAACTTATCCAACATGTCTCTAAGAAACCAGCATTTGTGCTGGGTAATAGCTCTGGAGCAATTGTCGCGATTGAGCTTCTTATTCAATACCCCGGGGTTGTGGAACGTGTATTTGCCCACGAAGCTCCTCTGATCCAATTCCATCCCGAGGGTGCTTGGTGGCGGGATTTTTTCCTCAAATGCTACGACAAATATGTGAGCTCTGGTGTACTCTTATCGGCCCGTCTATTTGCGGAAGGGATTGCGAGTGGGGTTGAGGAAGCTGCAGGAGTGGCGAAAGTGTTTGATGCTCGCGAAGGAGATTTCGTTGGGGGAAACGCCATGTACTGGTACGAGCGTGAGCTCCGCCAATATCCTTGTGCGGTTCCGAATATGGAGGTTTTGGGTCAGAGGGCGGACAAACTGGTGTTGGCTGGTGGGCGTGAGTCTAGTGAGACGTCGTGTTACCTGCCCGTGAACCGCGTGCTTGCCAAAAGGTTTAGGAAGAAGATCTTGGAGTTTCCTGGCTCGCACGGTGGCTATGTGACACATCCTGAAGAGTTTGCGCGAGTGATGTGTGCTGCGGCTCTAGGTGAAGCTAGATTGGGAGAATGAGCCGGATGGTTCTATCATGGAAGATCCTCCAAAACATTATAACCCGTGGAGCATGGAGGGGGACCATAGAATGCCTGATCACTGTTCGAATCTCAGCATCATCTAACCTTCCTCCCAAAATTCCTCACTTACGAAGGATCTCGATTTTTCAGCTCTAGGCGGAGAAACATCCAAAGATCAAATGTCACATAACGCTCAATCTATCCATACATTAACAAGAACAGTTTCTGCAACACAGGCATACCAATATTTCCGGTGCATATCAATGGAAAATTACGGCAGATTAGGCAGGTCCTCATAGCTTGTCAACTAAATCCTACTCGGTAGCATTCAAAAGAAAAACAGGAGACCTCCTGCCTCGAGAAAGTCTCAAGGTACTAAGCTAGATCATCTCTAATCTCTATGACCTGAAGCACAGAATCGAGGGACTCAAAGCATTTACGATGACAGGTCGAGATGTCTTTTTGCGCCCTCCAGATGTCCCGGCAGGCAATTAGGGTATCGCAGATTGTTTGTCGAGCGCGTTTGCTACAATTGCAATGATTCGATGGCTCTATGGGCGATTCTCCTTCTAGTATGCGCAATGAGATTGTGACCGCAGCAAGGTAGAACTCTTGCCGAAAGAGTCTTGCGTAAAAGAATGTGGACACCCCACACAATTCGAGGCCGCCTTGGCATAGGTTATTCTGCTCCGAGAGCAAGGACAAACAGCACTCGAGTGTTGACCAATACGAGGTTGGGTACACTGCATATGCTCTTTCTCGGTGGCAGAAAGGGTTATGCAACGCCAAGAGCACCCGACGTAAAAAAATATTGATCATGGGCCACTCGAAATGCTGCCGCGAAATTGTATTGTCCGATTGATGCGGTCGCGGCACGCTCGCCATGACCCTGCGATGGTAATGGCCCAAGAGCTGACGCAGTCGTCCATCATATGCGATAACCAAGTCATAGGGAATTGAATGAGCGCGAGAGGACAACTCGAGGACTTCGTATATTAGAGTAAGATGACCAAAACCGATGTCCCCAAAATCGTGGGATCCGTTGCAGTCACTAGATGCGGTGGTCTGCTCTTTTTCTTGTGGGTCTCTGTTGGCGGTGTCTGTGATTTCCGCATGGCAATACATCGAATAGGGGGTCATGACTGGGCGCCCAGACGCAAGGCTCTGTCGTAGATCAAGAAATAGAACTGCATGCCAGAGTTTTTTGTCGGCCGTAGGAATGGCTTGCCCCATGCTGCCGTTTTTTGGATCCGATTTATGGACTCCCAATGAGATAGCTAAGCGAACGATCAACCCAGTAACTGGCCAAAGGCCGTCAGACTCAACACAGAATAGGCTGGTGAGTTGTCTGAAGATAACGAGCAAGCACAAAGTCCTGATATTATCCCTATTAGGCTGAGCCATGTACGGGGTACGTCTTAGACATGAGTGCGCAACCCCATAGAGTGTGTTCGGAAGTTGCTCAGCTGACGTTTCCGTCGATTGGCAAGAACAATGGAGGAGGCTTCCGAGAGCTAGGGTCGCAAAGAATTTGGCCAACCATGAATCATCAGCCGCACCTGGCCTTGACCAGAAAGACGACACCTCGTCAAGAAAAGAACCCGATTGTAAGACCTGATGAGCCGGCTCAATGGCGTCGAAGTAACACTTGATAAAAGTCTCTGCCATGTAGCGAGGAGGGACATGTGAAAGTAGGGTCCTTCGCGAGCTTCGATAAAGGTTGTCAATCTCGGCGAAGAAAGTCGTACCTTCAGGGTCTGCCTGCTCATGTTTCTGCTGCTCGTTACTCGAATGGTTGCCACTTTCGTGGTGGTGACTCAAGAGCTGTTCAATCTGTATGCTCTTATTAGAAGGTAGACGGGTGAACGTGGTGTATATGAAATACATTTTCAAGGACGGTGCTCCAATGATTGTCCAAATGGAAGTTTTGCTTCCAGAATGGCAAGTGACGTGTGGACGTATTGTCGATCTGGGTTGTCTGTCTGGACGAGGCCGCGGGATATGTGCAATCCCTCTCCTTTCCCGCCTTCAGACACCGTGTGCAGGGTGTTCCTCGGTCACACTTCACTTTCAACAGTCGACAGCGAGTGCAGGAGTTGGTTTTGCTTGTATCGATCTGCTGACGGGGATCCAGCCTCAATGTTAGTCAACAAGTTCAGCGGATGCAGTTCCGATCAGCGTCTTTACTTTACAGTGATCGAAATCAGTATCGTTCCCATGACCACCGCCATGTGGACATAACTGAAATGGAATCGACGAGCGCTGATGGATAGCTCTTTGTCTTCGGTGTGCTGGCACATCTCTGGCGGTAGTGAAATTCGGCTGGCCAAAGTCCTCCCGTCGCGATCGAGTTTTCCTGTAAACACAGTGAAGCCCCTTTTGCAGACACCTCAGACACTTTGGCTTCGTAGTGTCACATCTTACTTTGGATATGCAACATTCCTGGCAGGCACTTGTCATTCGTTGTCGTGGCATTGGTGAAGTGGCTAGGTAAAAAAGATGATGCGAGACTTGGGAGGCGTGAAAATGAACCGATTATCCGACGTGCTGTGCTTTACGTAAGAAGGATCTCCAAAAGTGAACCTCCCCACTCATCGGCAACGGCTGTTCGTTATCCAGATATGATTGGTGGTGTACACTATCATTATGGGTCATTTCGGGGAAGAATAAGATTTCCGACCGCCACACCGACCTGCCTGCGCAGTTATCTTATCAGATTGATCTCCGGTACAAGCCCGGCAACGAGACAAACCGATTGTGCGCCCAAACACGATGAATCCTTTCTCCACAAACAGCGCTAAAATCACTTTCGGTGGGTTTATAAGACGACTGATTGTCTCTGGCCGGCGATCACATTGATATTTCTCCCACGATATTCAAATCCATCCCTGCCGTTGTCACTACGGGTTCCGAGCGACTGCACCATGGACTCTTCAAACAACGATGTGGGCTGTCGAGCCGATAGAAATGACAAGGGTGCGGCTACATCTTCCGTTTCCGCTACAAGGAGGGCTGCTGAAGATCTGATCTCGCCTGCTTCGGCTTCTCGAAATGCGACGGAGCATATCCAAAGAGGCGTTCGTAATGTCGAGGACGTGACATCCTCGTGGCCAAGGAAAGCACTGATAGCAATGTTTCTGCTGTATAGCTTCTACCATTCTCTCTGCAAAGGATGCGCACTAATTCTGACAGCTTCTATCTGTTCCTCTTCGAAGTTTCTCTTCAGCAAGAGGTCACAACGTCCCTTGCCCCCTACGTCACCTCATCGTTTCAATTACATTCGCTCACCGCAACGACCCAAATGATATCGGGTGTCATTGGTGGCGTTTCAAACCTCCCGGTTGCCAAGATACTCGATCTTTGGGGTCGAACGGAAGGTTTTTTCTTGATGACAGTTCTATGCACATCCGGTATTATCATCGGGCCTGAAGCATTGGCTTTGCCTAACAATATGCAGGATTGATTATGATGGCAGCTTGCCAGAATGTCCAAACCTTCGCCGCCGCACAAGTACTCCGTCTTTTCCACGTTAGCCATGATCAGCCCTAATATCTCATTCAGGTGCTCTACTGGGTTGGCTACAATGGCCTAGACTACATCATCAACGTCTTCATTGCCGACACAACTTCTCTGGTCAACCGTTCGGTGATTCTGGGGATTTCGCAAACGCCATACCTCGCGACTGCCTTCGCGGGCCCTCGAGTTGCCCAGTTATTTTTAGAGCACACCAATTTCAGGTGGGCTTTTGGGGTGTTCACCATCACAACACCCTTTTTTGCCGCACCCATAATCATACTCTTCCTGTATTATCAGCGTCGGTCAAGGTCCAATACAGGCGAGACCTTGTGCTCGGATCATGGCCGCCTCTTGGCATTCTGGAATCATTGCAAATCCTTAGACAGTTAGCATTACTTCCCTTGCAGTTGGTCTTTCTGACTTTATCACAGTTGTGGGAATGACTCTCTTAATCGCGGGCTTTGTCCTCCTTCTTCTTCCACTCAACCTGGCCGCGAGGGCACCAGACGGCTGGAGCACCGGATACATTATCGCAATGCTGGTTATTGGGGTAGTGGCGCTTGTGGGCTTTGCGGTGTGGGAAAAATGGGTTGCTCCCACGTCGCTTCTCCCATTCAACCACCTGGTTGATCAAAGCATTATAGGGGCGTGCATCGTAGCTTGCGCTCAGTTCATCAGCTTTTAGTACGCCTTCCTCCTGCCACTCTATTTCCCCCAAACAGGTTTTGGTCCATTCTCATCACCCTCTCAGTTGCTGGGCGTCATATTTTCTCTCATATCTGCAAGTCGTCAAGCAAATGAGCATCCAAAATGCCGGTTACGTTTCGGATGCCTATGTGCTGGTGTCCTGCTTTTGGGCCGTCGTTATTGGCTTGTTAGTATTGCATATCGACTGATGGTTGAGCATTCTGCTAATTCTTATAGACTGATCCAGCGGTTTGGGCAGTTCAAATGGCTTGGTATGGGTGGGGTTCCGTTCATGCTCCTGGGCACTGGCCTGCTGATTCATTTCCGGACTTCCCAAACATCGATCGGCTATGTCGTCATGTGCCAGGTGTTCAACGGCGTTGCGGGAAGCACCCTCATAGCAACCCAGCGCATGGCTGCACAGTCTTCTGTTGGTCATGAAAACTTAGCAGTGATCACAGCCCTAATCGGGTTGTTTTCCTCCCTCGGCGCCGCCATTGGGTCAACATTGGCTACTGCAATCTGGACAAATCTCATGCCTCACTACCTTCGGGAATATTTACCTGCAGCTGACCAGAAAAACTTGCCAATAATCTACGGAAGCTTAGTGGAGCAGCTTCAATACCCTTGGGGGAGTCCAACCCGCATCGCGATAGTTCAAGCCTATACTGAGGTTCAACGTTGGCTTTTGGCTGCCGGGATATGTTTCGTTCCTCTGATTGTCGTTGGCATTGTAATGTGGAAAAATGTGAGTGTAAGAGGAATGAGTCAGACCAAGGGAAACATCTACTGAAGTAAACAATTTTTCGGTTTCTGTGTCGAGGCCTGGGGCCGAAGTTGGGCGTACTCCTACTTCAAGCCACCGGCTATGCTCTGGCAGGATGTTCAATGACACAACAACTACGGATGGGAAACTGCGAGGTGCAGATTTTGTTTTGTTATGATTTTAGGGGAAGCTCTCATTCCTCTTTGCTTGTGACTCCACTTGAAGTTTTAATTCCCAAAACCCAGTACGTACAAAATTGGTTTCATGACTATAAACAGGTACACCCGAGCAGTGAAGTCAAGTTACGGAGGAGACTCGGGTTTTGAGCGAAGCCCAGTATCGGGGTTCTCTAAGTCAGTGTGGCTGTCATTAGAGTTCCAGAGACGACAGTACTCCAGGCTAGGGTGATTATATATATTCTTGGCTATGTCGTATTCATCAATCTTTATAGCCTGATTATCCTGGATATCTAGACATAGGTCGCTTCCCTTCGACCGGGAGCAATGGAACTCCATCGGACCACCTACCTGGCCAGCTTCTTGAAGACTATAGTAGCGCCAAAGAGCCATTCTGATGTGGTTGTTGACTGAGATATATAGGCAATAGAACTCTCCTGTCTTATTCATCAGCGTCAACCTGCAGCTATGTATTGGTTTAGTTATGGATATCCCTTGAGTACACGTCACGGCGGGAAGACAACAATTCTTGAGATATGCAATGCTGAAAAATGACAATTGTGAGACCAGAAGGGTCGCAGACCCAGGTACGGTCTTCTCCAATAGCAGCAGCGTCTGGATTACATCTGAACACTTACAAAATGTGTGTAAAGGGACACTAATCCGGTCTGTGGTAGTAAATCCTGGTCTCAGTAACGTAAACTGCCAATCTAGCCGGGTTTAGACGAGCCCTGAGGATGAGCTTAGGCATTATCTGGGTAGTAGTAATCGAATAAGCAGATGCGACTGAATTCCAGTGTGTTTCTAAGCCTGCCCACAGAGAAATTTTGGGATTTCACCAAGCGGAACATCGCTTCCAAAATGGCGAGTGTCCTAGTGATGAACCTTTCTCTTTCGCAAGCCCTGCCGAGCTCGGAGATTAAGGTAGTGATTGTTAACGGCAAACCAATAAGTGGGTCAGTTATTATCCAGGAAATGGCCGAGCCCAGGGTCTTCGCTTGACGACTGGTGAGAGAAGTATGATTGGAAACGCAAAGTTTCGGCCTAATAATGTCGGAACTACGGCAGAGCTCCGATGAAGTAAAATTTTGTATATCTCGTTTCACTATTTAATCCTGAGCTGGTCTGCGCGCAAAGCATAAAATTCGCTCTCCACTAAACTATATCTACAAGTGCAGTATTTATCGTCAATTCCCTACAACCTCTCAACATCCAGGCGCCTACCATGTCACCTACGAGAAATTTTCTTGATATGGAGAATGGAATGGGCTGTCTCAGCCTAGATGGACCTGTGAACTCCGAACGGGCACAAGCCGAGAGTAGTTCGAGCCAGCAAGATGGAGTAATTCTCTCAAAAGCTCCGTCGGAGAACCGGATTGACGGTGAATTCATCGCGGTGCAATGGAACGGCCCGGAAGATCCTGAAAACCCTCAGAACTTCACATTCGCACGAAAATGCCTGATCTCGGCGAGCCTGTCATTGATGACATTGTGTGTCACGTTTGCGAGTAGTGTCTTCAGTGAAGTGACGGTGATCACTGCAAAGGAGTTTGATGTGGGAGCGGAAGTCATGACTCTCGGCACGAGCTTGCCAATCTTTGTATAGCATCCCCATTGACGTTAGGAGGGCAAAGCGCACTGGGATCTGGATCCACTAACTCTGGCTAGGGGTTCGCGATAAGTCCTCTCGTATGGGGACCTGCATCGGAGCTATTCGGACGCACGCGCCCACTGTTCGTCGGCTATGGTACATTTATCCTCTTCCAGCTCCCGGTGGCGCTTGGGAAAAACGTAGCGACGATTCTTGTCGGTCGCTTTTTTCTTGGATTCTTTGGCTGCGCACCCCTATCAATTGTGGGGGGTACAATGGTCGATATTTGGGATCCCACCGCCCGAGGCGTCGCCATTGCATTTTTCTCGATCGCAAGTTTCGCCGGTCCAACTTTCGGCCCGATCCTGTAAGTATTTGTGTGGGCCCGCTGATGACTGTCTGGGCGCTGATTTATATCGCAGCGGGGGATTCATTGTTGACTCGTACCTGGGATGGCGTTGGACTGCCTGGATCACTATGATAGGCGCTGCATTCTTCGGGGCTGTGTCGTTCGTTCTGGTACCGGAAACCTACAGTCCGGTTCTACTACAGCGTCGTGCGGCGTGCCTACGCCGTCAGACGGGAAATCCAGCTTTTCGCGCCCCGCTAGACACGCACCAGCCGACTTGGGTTGACATGATTACCAGGTATCTCTTCCGACCGCTCAAGATGCTCTTCCTTGAGCCCATCCTCGATTGCCTGACCATTTATATCTCACTCATATATGGTATCCTATACCTCTTCTTTGAGTCCTACCCAGTCGCCTTCACCGAGGTACGCGGCTGGACACAACTCGGTGTCGCAGCGCTTCCGTTCCTGGCAATTTTGGTCGGTGTCCTCTGCGGAGGTGGTCTGATCATCGTGGTCACCAAAACCCGATTCGTCCGGCAGTTGGAACGGCATGGATATGTCATCCCAGAAGAGCGTTTACCCCCAATGATGATTGCAGCAGTCCTTCTTCCTGCTGGTCTATTTTGGTTCGCATGGACGTCCAAGCCGGAGGTTTCGTGGGTCGCGCAGACCATTGCTGGGGTTCCGATCGGCTGTGGCATACTGGTTGTCTTCATGCAGGGCTTGAACTACCTGGTTGATGTGTATCTACCTTTCGCCAATTCGGCCATGGCTGCCAACACCCTCGTTCGATGCAGTTTTGGTGGCGCATTCCCCCTTTTTGCCACCCAGATGTTCCACAGACTTGGGGTCGCCTGGGCGACGAGTCTACTAGGATTCTTGACAGTTGCAATGATTCCTATACCGACTCTGCTTTTTGTTTACGGGAAGCGAATCCGATCTTTGAGCCGATTCTCAATGGCCGAGGAACGCCAGTGAGGGATGTATATGCTTTTTGGAGCCCAAAATTGCGACTCAGGCCTCAAGACACTGATCTACCTTCTACCTCTTCCGGTGAAAGGAATACTTTACATTACACGGACTTCAATATATCAAATTCCATTTACCTAATAGGGCCCCCTTCAATTTGGCTAGTGTCTTCTGACATACTCGCCGCGCACAACGAAAAGGAATCATTCACTTAGGTAGTACTCCCCAACGATGGTAAAACGAACAATCTCTGGGTTCAGAAGTCTAGGGAAGGATTTTCTTAGTCTGCGATTGGCGCACAGGTGCTCAGCTCAGCTCCGTCGCGCAGCAGTAGTCCCATACCATCAAAGTGAATATCTGTTCGCCATGCCCACCTAGTTCTCTGTAGTCAACGACTATCTCCCTCAAAACCCGCCATCCCAACTTGGAATAGAGCGGGTATCCATCTGTAGTAGCCACGAGGAGAATCCGTTGCTTCAGCTCTTGCACCAATTTGATACCCCACCGCAAAAGAGATGATCCTACTCCTTGTCCCTGGTACTCAGGAAGGGTGGCAAGATAATCCAATGCTAGACCAGGATTAACAACGCATTGTGAAATTCAAAAGCATCCAGCTCGTAAAAGTGGTGGGATCTCCGTGTCCGATCTCAAGAAAACAAGTGTGTGTCGAAGCTACTTACTTATATCTGTTGGTCCGGCACACCGACCCATCTCCTCCTTTAGCATGTTTATGATATTCTCATAAATCCCGCACTGCATGCCCTCGGGCCTGAGCTGCTCAATACTCTCAGTAGTTGCTGTTCCACCCTCACCCAATTCAATCCGTCGGCGATGAGATTGTGGAAGGGGCAAGACCGACGGAACAGACCATGATGCGTATCCCACTACTTTCTCTGACGGCTGGCTGACATCGACTGCAACCAGTATGTGGGCATCGCTATGTCTGATTCTCTCCAGGCACCGTGCCAGTTTGTACGGAAACACCACAGACGCTTCCAGCGAAGGGGAAACGTTGCTCCACAAAGGTTGGTGAGAGAAGCTAGCGATATTGATCTCAGCCAGACTGGGGGCATCGGACTCTGTGGCGTAACGGATCTCGAAGCTCATTTTGAGACTGCAGTTCCTACGCACTTATGGCTAAGGAAGTTGTATTCACGAGACGATTTCACGGCAATGGATGTAATTCCCCCATAGAGGCATCTTAAATATCTTTCAACCTTACTTCGGCTAGCTTGAATAAGCTTTACTGTGCCGATGCTCCTGGACAGTGCCTGGCTGTCTTGTGATCAGTGACATCCGGAGGTAAATTTTTATTCCGACGACTCCACTCCGACTTCACACGAGACTCAAATCCTCAGTACCGTAGTGAAGCGCCTGAGTCTCCAGGGCCCACACCAAAATCCAAAATAGCACGGCAGAGTCCAAATCTGGTTCGTAGGATTAGAGCCTCCGCATCGCCATTGGCCATGGCCGCCAGGGGTGAAGGTGGGCTCAAGATGTTGTTGATATGTCTACCACCTGATCGCTCCTGCTTTTTTAAGTTAACAAGGGGAAGCACAGCCTTTCACACTGCTTGGTGGCACCTTCAATTTCCTTGGCATAGGGTTGGGGAAATAAACTGACACATCTTTTTTTTCTATGCCTTGGGGTATTATAACTCCAGTATCTCTTTTATCTATTTTACTAACCTATCGTAAATAGGGCTTATCCTTTTTATATATGATATAGTGCGATATACAAAGTCTTAATATATTTTATTAAATAAATATTTTGGAGCTAGTTTAATAGCTATATTCTATAGGATAATAAATTAATTAATACTAATTATATATTTATACTAAGTATTATAGGGCTAGTTTTAGTTAATATAATATTAATATTTTTTTAAAAAGTTTACTATTTAGTAGAAGCTTTGAAATAATATTTTTCTAAATATATAGACTATAATAAAATATCTATTATTTAGATAATAGATATTAGATATTTTCGTATATCCTTTTCTTTTTTAATTTAGATTTATTATATTTAAAAAAGAAAAAAACCTATAATTATATATTAATTATCGATTATTAAATAAAATTATAATTAAAAATAGATATTTATTACCGCTTATTATAGAAATATAAAATAAAATAAAAAAAATAAAATAGTTTATAAAACTCAATATTATA